GTAAGAACGTGGCTAACAACCCCACCATAGAAGTTATGTTTGGCACAACTCGGAACGAGGCTTTCCATAAGCAGTAAAGCAATGTGTGTATATATGTAATATACTAGACTCAGCGGCATGCCTTATGCGCCGCTACTGCAGCAAGGTTCGCAAAGTTGTTCGTTGGATGTGTGGCTGAATGCCACAGCGACCTGACGCTCACATTTGAGGGGCACGATATGCTGGTCAAATTTGCCTTGTTCCTCGTCGCAGAGACGCCATTCAAGTCTTCACCTCTTATGCGCCACTCAGTAGGAACAGGCGAGTCGGTGGATCTGGCGAGCCTGCCGATGAATGAAGCTTCACCTCTGTGGCACATGTACTTTACTTACTGCACTTCTGTGACTGCGGGCATATATTGCCGTCAAAACAAACATCGTCGTCATCATCAAAACGTCATGTTCATCGCTACTGCTCCAGAAAACGCAAGACACGCATGTCGTCAAATAGAAACATGTTTCTCCTCCACGGGGGGGGCATTATCCACTCTGGTGCGGGGACTGCGAATGCGAGGGGCCTGTTGCCGAGCACACCAGCAAGGCGAGAAGGAAGGGGAAGCACCTACTGGCCGCCACCGTGGAGTGGAATGTCTCCGGCCATTTTAGTTGCCCCGATGCAAAACACGCAGCCCGCATCGAGGCGACACAGAGCTCAACACGTAGACTGAAAACGTAGGCCTGGCGTGATACGTTCGCATAACCCTGGGCCACCACATGCTGAGCCAGCACGTAGCGTGTTCAACTAAGACGTTTTGAGCACGGTACGCATTGCAGTTAAACACGGGCGTATCAGGGCAGCTGAGCCGACCACGAATCGGCCCTCATCAGGGCCAAACATTCTGGCCGCTTATGGTCTGGCTCTGGGCGGCCCCCGTGGCGAAACTCGTCCGCGCGGTCTTCGGGGAGTGCCCGTCGGTCGCTCGCCTGCGCTACCTGATTGCACCTGGCTCCCTCCCTCCTCCTTGACTCTTGATGGGTTGCTCATCAAGGGGGGCTGATTGACCTTCCGACTGAGCTTGCCCGTCTCCCCTCTCTCCCTCCTCCTCCTCCTCCTCTTCCTCCTCCTCCTCCTCCTCCTCCTCCTCCTCCTCCTCCTCCTGCTCTTGTTCTTCCTCCAACCCCCTCCACCCATTCCGACAGCACCTGCCCGACCCCCCCGCGGATCAAAGGGAGGGCGCGTATTCTCCCATCCACAGTGCCCCCCCGATCGATGTTTCGGCACCCGGCGGCCGTTCCCAAGTCGCGCCGCCTAACCTCGCGCACCGCGCCCAGCGGTGCGCGGCGCGCGGTTACCTTCGTGCCCTCGCACGGGCCCCCGTGGAGGGCAACCACTCTGGCAAGAGTCAGGCACCCCCGACTTGTTAGGGGGCTTCTTAGGACGAGACTGATGTCATGATCGGATTGGCTCAGGGTGCGTCCCGGGATTTCCAAAGTACCTAGCGGCCCTCGTTTCTGCAGCCCGCGTGGAACAATAGGGAATCTTGGGAAGCAAAAGCAATCCTGGAAATCGTGAAGCGCATCATTATCATAATCCCTTGCTCCTCTGAGTTCTCGTCAGTCCTGGTAGGCTTTCCGGTCTCGGGCTGCCCTTCAGCAGCTGCGCCAAAATCGTCCCGAACGGCCGCCTGAGACACGAGCTGTGACCCGAGAGCTAAAGGGCCGTGGAACGCTCGAGGGATCCGAGACCGCGACGCGAGAAGCGCGGTAATCTTCGCGCCCCCGCAGGCAACCTCGCCGTTCCATCGAAGATTGACGAAACCCCCTTTAGCAAAACGCCCTTTAGCCAAAGCTGCCGGGGCGCACCTCGGGTGCTTGCAGAACCGAATTCCGAGTGCACCTGGGCGGCATCACTAATCGACGTCCAAAAATAATTATCATAATTTATCTGACGAAACGCACGTCGATTAGCGAAACCGACAAGGGACTGCACCGGTACTCTCGTCTGAAAATGTCGAGTTAACCCATGCAAATTTCCTGTCGCAACGCTCTAACACAACGAATATACCATGATTGAACAATTACGCAATAACGGGTCATACCACAGTTGAATGGACACACCATAACATAGCAGTTTGGGGACGTCGGAAACGGATCCGGGGCGAACAAACAGCCCCTCGGGAGGCGGCCGGGGACCGCGGACTGCAAAAGCCACGTCGGCGCACGCCCGGGGCCTGGGACGCTCCCGTGGCGTTTCTCGCGGCCTCCTGGGACGACTCTCGCTCGCTCCCGGGGGCCGCCCGGCAGGTGGATGCCTCCTGGGTGGGGCCAGAGCGAGCGGGTGCCAAATCTGCCCCGCACCCCCCTCCTCCGACGGCGCAACTCTTCCGCGACGTGACCCCCTGGGCATCCCGGCCGCTCCCCCGGGACCGGCGGTTCCTCCTGGCTCGCTCTGATTGCGGTCTAGGGGCTGGGAGGTGACGTCAACAGAAACGACCGTCGCGAGTTCTGGCGCCTCCTGGATCTGAAGGATGAAGGGGCCCCAGGACACACAAATAAATACACACAAATAAAAAGATTCCCCATATTTCCACATCTTTTCTGCGTGTTTGTCCTCCCCCCCACTTCCCATGCTTTCCCATCTTTTCTGGGGAATCGCCGATGAATTGTGTCTGTGTGATTCTTTCCCTCCTGAAAGGATCGGCGCCTCAGGAAGAGGAGGAGGAGGAGGAGGAGGAGGAGGATCGCCGACGCACCGACGACGCATGGAGTTGTGAGCTTACTGGCCGGCGGCCACCTGGATCCGAGGCGCCGGCAGGGCAGCGGCGGGGGCGAAGCAAGGGAAGGCGCGGGCACGAGAGGGGAAGAACGAAGGGCAAGGCTTTATTTGGAGGAGGAGGAGGAGGAGGAGGAGGAGAGGAAGAGGGATGAGGGACGATGGAGGAGAAGGGAGGAGGGAGGAGGGAGGAGGGAGGAGGGAGGGGAAGAGGGATGAGGGACGATGGAGGAGAAGGGAGGAGGGAGGAGGGAGGAGGGAGGAGGGAGGAGGGCGGGGGGCGCGGGGAGGGAGGAGGGAGGAGGGAGGGGGGTGAGGCAGCGCGCGGCGGCAGGGCCCTCCGAGCGTGAAGCCCTTCGGGGTGCGCTGGAGGGCAGGTCGCACACACAGAGGGCCGCCGAGAGGCACGCGGCCAGCCAGTGCAGCAAGGATGCGCGATGAGGATGTAAGGGCCTTGGAGGGCCATGCTACTCCAGATTTCGTAATAAAGGGAGGGGGGGTCTCATATCGGGGGGGTTCTCTTCCGGGCTATCTTGGAGGGCCTGGGGGGGTCTGGGGACGATGTTTTGGAGGGTTCTCCCACGGGGGGGGGGTCTGAAATGGCCTGTCTTGGAGGGTCCAGACCCCCTCCCTTTTATTACGAAATCTGGAGTACCGCTTTTCGGACGAGGTGGACCAGCGAAAGCTACCAAGGAGATGGGCCGAAGGGGCAAGCATGCAAGAGTGGCCTTGGAAAGTCGCTCGTCCTTACTGCGCGGGATGGCTGCACACCCGGGCACGAGTGGGGTGCACCGTGCAGGAAGGTCAAGGTGAGATGAATCCGAAGGAGCTGCGAACACGTGAGCTGCACACCGCGCCGCGCTGCCGACGCACGGGCACCGTGGGGAGCGACCTGCGGCCTTCCGCGCGCTCCAGCCCTGTCCCGGAGCCCAGGATCAGAGGATCACCAGGAGCCCCGCGACTCGCAGGGGGCCTTGGCTCCGAAAAAATTGGAGCGCTCGGATTTGGGCTGCTTTCGGCCTCCGAGGGTCCTCCACTGGTTCCAGCGCGCTCGCTGAGAGATGCTGAGCTGACAACTGTGCAGCAGGTTCTTCCCCGAAGGGTAGTAAAAACAAGGAGGGCAAGGTAAGGGAGGGTGGCAAGAATGAGCCACCCTCCCAGGAAGCTGAAGCACACGTACGGAACATGTGGAGGCCGCAAGCCAGATGCACATGCGGAGGGCCAGCGTACGCTGCCATGGAGGGTCGCGCGCTGGAAAAGCAGTGCGGCCACGTGTGTGTCCAGCTCTCGCCACAGACGGCCGCGTCATGTGTATCCAGCTTCCTGGTACACTGAGCGCGACGAATGCCCTGGAAATCTGTTCTGGATGGGCTGATGGGAGTACGCGAAAAGTGAGAATCGTTCCGCTTAGGCCAGCGAGTGCCACCGACCATTCAAGGTGCAAAGTACACAACCTGTTAGTTCCACCAAGCACGGCATGCCAGCCTGGCAGTCCTATGTTCGATGGCTTCTGCGAACGTGTATCCATCGACCGTCTGCGACCTGCTCCTGATCCAGCTTGTGCTGATTCACGACCTTTATAAACCCACCTCCTCCTCCACCCGTTCCTGCTCGCATGCCTGCCCGTGCTCGCGCTCGTGATCATATTATTGCTGCTGCTGGCTTGGTGTAGGTGCGCATCTGACGCAAACGGGACATAGACGCAGCAAGACTCACTCAGACAGCGGCATCGCGACTGCCAAGATAAGCGGTAGAGAGATGTGCGGACCCGTCGCCTTCAAAGCACACCGCCACCTCAGCGGGCACCTCGAAAAATTGGCCAGCAGCAGGGGCCCAAACATCCGCCGATATTATTCGATAAATCCGCGGCCCCAAAGGCCCCGACCGCTTACCCAGGGGCAGATTTTCGTCCCAGATCCATGTTGTATGGCCCCAGGGGCAGGAAATGACCCACGAGGGCCGAAATCGATATCACGTTGACAAAAAAGAGATCGCTGGAGTCTCCGAAAGCCCAGACCTCCGACTCGGAGGTCTGGGCTTTCGGGTCATAATTCGGGCCTCCAGCATCCGTTCGGGACGATCCATCCAGGCACCCCCGAATACCCGCGACAAGGCGCCGCTGATGGAAACCGCCCCAGGCCTCGAAAGCCTCCGCAGCCCTCCGCAGACCTCGGATCGAGCGCCGCTCGTCGAGAGGGGATCACTTCGCCGGAGATCCGGGGAGAAACCACGGCGGCAGCCGCGGGTTCCTCCACCGGCATGGCTCCCCGACCGGTGCCGCCGGCAGGAGAAGCAAGCGCGTCGGCCTGGCGCGGCCGCCCCCGGCGGCGGCCGAGGCGAGGGCGAAGGCCCTGGCCCCTGGGCTCACGAAGGGCTCCTCCTCCTCCTCCTCCTCC